ACAAAAAGGAAAAAAAAAAAAAAAGAGACTTTATCAATATGAAAATTTCTAAGATTGTGTGTATTTTATGAATATATTTTATCTCGAACTATTTTGTGGCCATATGAGAATGCACTCTTTATTGTATGTTTAAATTGGAATTTTGTTATTCTCTTTTTTATTTCTCTTCAGAAACACTATGTCTTTTATGTTCAAGTTCTAATATATATTTATGTGTTCATACATAAATGTAGATATATATTTAAACACACACATATATAGATAAGCTGAACATAACTATTTTGCTGATGCCTCTTAAAATGACAGTGTTTTCTGAAAGGAATATGTTCATTTAAGTTCACATCAAATCCAAAGGTCTTTTTTGGTTCAGTGTTAAGGAAATCTGTGATAATTTAGACTCTTCCACAATGAAAAGTAAAGCGTTCTGTCACAAAGCATGGAGGATGAGACACAAGGTCAAAGGGCATTTCAGAAACAAACAGCTGGACCAGTTTATTTAAACAGATAGAGGGATGGGGGAACTGACCTCAGTTTGACTTATAGTGGGAGGAGCAAGAATGTCTTTTTATTACTTTGCCCAGAAGGAAAATGTTTTTGTATCTGAATTCACCCTGAAGCCATCTAAACACATGGCTCTGCTATATGTAGCATAATTCCAAAGAGAGAGGATGTATAAGATTGTCTGCATGGTGATAACATACACAAAACAGAATGAAATGTTGAGATGGTTTCAAGATCAAAAAGTTGATGTTTTAAAAAATAAAATATTTTGCTATTTACTTATTTTCAGATAAAGATGTCCACCGTGACCCCAGATAATAATACAAGTTGTTCATATAAGTGTAGGAATTGTAATTCAGTGACATTCTGAGAGCTTACGGTGTCCTAAATAGTGATAATATTTCATTATATTGAATTATTTTTTCAATTAAAGTTTTCAAAAGTATGACTTCCAGATAGAAAGTAGCCAAATAGTTCAGACAAAGTGATTAGGTTTTCTTAGATTTTAAGTATTTTTGTTGTTTTGTTTTTGTTTCTCTTAGGTTTTAAGTATTTTTGTTGTTTCATTTTTGTCTTTGCGTGTTCTATACATAGGACATGTATAAAACATGTATAGAAAGCTACATGGGAAGCTTACATCTGTGTTATCAATAACAACAAATAGTTATTGCTACCAAAAAAGAAGCAAATAGCATCTAGTGTTTGTGGGCACTTACTTAAGAGGCTGTGGTAAGGTATTTGCTCTCTACATGGGGACCAGAGTAGGCCTGGAATAAATGTAGTTAGTGTTATCCACTGCAGACCTTCAGAGCAACACAGACAAATCTCAGCATTCTGAGCAAAGAGTGATGAGTGGACTCAAAATCCAAGAAGGACACAAATTTTAGAAGAAACTTTTTAAGAACCACAATGTTTAACCTAGGGAGAAAAGTGGAGAAGCCTGTAGGGCCTGATGGTTATGTTTAAATATTTGAGACTCTGTCCTGAGGAAGTGATATTAGAGTTGTTTAAATTACCCCAAGGAGCTGTGCTGTTGAAAGGGTTTTAGATCAAGTAAGGCAGAACCTTTTAAAACTTTGCCTTGTCCATAGATGGAGTGGACTCTCAGCTCAGGTGGTGAGTTCTGTATTAGAAACAGTCCAGAAGAGGCTACTCATCTGCTTGGTGGTGATATCATAGAGGGAACCCATGTCAGTGACCAAACATAACAATTGTTAAAGCCTTTTACAAACCTGAGGTTTAATTTTTTTGACTCCATGGGCTTAATAGTCATGGACTCAAACCTGCGTTGATTTTTATGAATTGGTCTATGGGAGTCTGAAAGTATGAGTGTGAAGGAGACAAGCTTTGGAATATAGATAAACTGAGTCACTGAACCTTTTTCTGAGTAGCTGATCTTTGTCTGTATATACAAAAAATGTAGCTATCAAAGGTCCCAATCTGCAAAATATTCACAGTCATGCTTATTCCTTGACTCAACATTAGAGTTGCTGCCATGGTAATTGGCTCACAACCAGCTAGTTTTTAGATATCTATTTAGTCTGGAATATTTGAGATGGGTGGCACAGTACTGGTCATGCTCTGGTCACAGCCATAGAGAGGGTGTTTGCCACCATTTGCCAGCTGTATGTCATTCAGCAAATTATTAACATCTCTGGTAACATATGACCTCAAATAAGTCACTCAGTTTTTCTGAGCCTTGGCTTCTAATCTGTTAAAAATGGCTCTTCCTATTTTTTAGGTAAGTAGTATAAATCATATTCATAAAATCTTATGCTTTAAAAAGGGCTTGAAAAAGAAAGTTAACAGACTTTTTTCCCTCGAAGAACCTGCAGATTATGAACAGTACCATAGATAAAGAGCTGTTTTTTGCTCTCTTTACCTATGTTAGTTACTATGAAAATTACTTTTGGTATATGCAGGATATTAATATTAAATAATTTTCTAATTGGTCATGCAGTGAAAGCAGCTAATGAAAAAGCAGATTTTTTTTTCATTT